CATGCTGCATCTGCAACTCAGCAGCCTCCCAGTCCAGGAGCCGGCTGCAGATTCCTGTGCAAGAGAAACGCGGGGAGAGGAGAGGATTCAGAAGCCAGGAAACTGAATGGGGGAACGTGGCCTGGAGAAAATGTCCTCCCGGAGTCGCAGCTACCTTTTTGCCACAGCTCCATGAAACAATCAGTTGCCTTGCATCACAGCACCCAAACCCTTCATGCTCAGAATAATACAAATGGCAAGGACCTGCTGGGATCGTATTTCCTACAGAAAAAGTAGCCCTCCCTTTCTGAAAGGACACTCCCATTTATTCATGAGCAAGTACATGGATTCCTGCAAGGACGGGTGTCTTCAGGCATAGATTGCTGAATGATCCAGTGGAGGCCTTCCAGGAGCTTTGATCCAAACAAGCATGCAAAGGGTCAGGACTGCTTCCTCGTTAAAGCGCTCTTGCGAACGCTCTGCCATCTCCACAACTCCCAGGCTGCCAATCTGGGCGGCTTTAGGAGGGGATTGGACAGAGTCAGAGGGAGCTCCCTTCCAGCGTCCATGAACCCTGCTGTTTGAAATGCAGGGGGGCAGGTGATTGATGCTACATGCTTCTCAGATTTAAATCTACTTAAAATCCCTTCCTTACCAGGTGCCCAGTCTCAGGTCAAACTGGTTGAGTCTGGAGGGGATGTCAAAAGGCCAGGAGAGTCCCTGCGCCTCTCCTGCCAAGCCTCCGGCTTCACCTTCAGCAGCTACCGAATGAACTGGGTGAGACAAGCACCTGGAAAGGGCCTAGAATGGGTAGCCTATATCAGTACACAATCCACTCCCATTTACTACTCGGACGCCGTGAAGGGCCGCTTCACCATCTCCCGAGACGACTCCAACAGCCAGCTGCATTTGCAAATGAGCAGCCTCAAGCCTGAGGACACGGCAGTGTATTACTGTGCAAGAGACACAGTGGGAGGAAGTGAATCTGCAGCCTGGCAAAAAGCCCCTTCAGTCATTGCAATGCTCCTTGTTCATCAGTGACATGAACTGGACAAGTAGAGCTATATTTGCATGTCACAAATACAAACACTTTGGCATACTCAGCATGGAGGCTAAACTTCCTCTGACCAAAAACTGTGATAAGACATTGTGGAGTGAATGTTTCTCCTAATGCTCCAATAGCAAAGCAAGAGATTTAAGGTTTTGGCTGCAATGCTCAACTTGAGACTGAATCTCTCTTGTCCCGATGCACAATTATCACAACTATGGTGCAGAGTGCAGACTTCCCATCTACCCTACAGTGCTGCCCCTCAACAGGTTTCTGCCCCTTTCTTCAGGCCGTGATTTGCTGCTCATCAACTTAAAACCATCTCCAGTTTACCACCCTTTGTTTCCCAGAGCACCCCAGCATCTTACTCATGTGCAGACTTGGGGTGACTTCTTGCCCCAGAGAATTTTGGTATATGGAAAGAACATGGCTGAGGAAGCCAGCTGCAATGAATGGGCATCGTTTACGTCAATGCAGGTGACAATCTCCTAGGACAGATTTTTGGTGTATTTATGTGAGATGGACACAATAAAGAGTGAGCCAGGGATTGGAAATTGATCCCTGGATGAGTTAATTAAAAGTGAACTCTGCTCGCTTAGCAATTCTAATATGTATGGGTCAGCGAGACTTGCGTGGCTGATTGATTTACCCCACCACTTCTAACCATTGGCGGGAACAAATGCAACTGGGGATATCAAGATACTGCACAGCTCGCAATGCCTTCCCACCCTCCCTCCCTCTGTGTTACATGTTGTGCCATATATATGTATGCATGTGGGGAGCGAGAGAGAAAGAGGGACAACGTGAAACCAGGAGAGCAAAGAACATCTCGTCCAACCGTCTGGTAAAAACACACTTTATTTATTTAATTATTTAAGTATTTATTTATTTTCTGATTTATATCCTGCCTTTTTCCTACAAAGGGCTCCATGCAGCTTACATCATTCTCCTCCTCCATCTTATCCCCACAACAACCCTGTGAGGAAGGTTGGGCTGACAGTCTGTGACTGGCCCAAAGTCACCCAGTTGGCTCCATGGCTGAGGAGGGACTAGAACCCAGATCGCCTGAGTCCCGGTCCAATGCTCTTAACAGCAGCACCACACTGGCTCTCAGTATAAATTGACTGCACACCAGAAAAGATATACATAGATATGATGCTCATGGAAACATGCACAGAGAAACTTGTCAGTATTTTTGTAAGTTATGTTGGGTGCAGCATGACGGCTTTCCCCTGTGTGAAGAATCCACTGTGGCTACAATTCCTGCTTTGCCATTCATCTATCAGTTGAACCAGCTCACAACGCCCCTTCCGCCTGTTGCTAGATGCATATTGACCTTGCAGTGAGGAAGGATCCGAGTCAATCTGATAAATGGATTTTGGATGTTTCTCATGGAATGGAAATTTAATAGTGTTACAGTTTGTTTTTTCAATAGTCTTTAAATGTGTGCAAATGGAATGTTACCGCTTCACCTTGCTTCACTTGGCTTCGCCTTGCTTCACTTCGCTTGGCTTCGGTTTACTTCGCATTGCTTCGCTTCAGTTTGCTCTGTTTGTGTTCTGCAATATATTGCACAAATATTGGGGGATTTCAGCTGCACAAATAGGTGGTCTTTTCTGCAAGGGGTGTTCCTAACGTTTGTGCAGATGGGGTCATGCTCCTCCCCCACTCCTTTTAGTGTACTGGCACCTCATCTCATGGCCAGACTACACGGATGCTCTGCTCCACCACCCCAACAGGGGGCAGCAAGTTCACACACAAAAGCATCTGATGAGTTCAGCCAGGAAGATCTGGAATTAAACCATTAACCACATGAGCGCTTGGCTGGGAGAACGTTTCTGGTGACAACTCACTACCAGCTGCAGCTGGTCCTCAGTCATTTGAACCACCCAAGGTGTCCGCTGTTATTTGTGCTGAAACATCAAGGACGTGTGAGACTTGGCTACCACGGGAGGGAAGAAACACAGAGTAGAGAGGAATCTGGGGGCAGAAAGGAGGAGCAGGGAAATGACTGAGTTCAGGTCAAGAACCTGGTTAGCCTGGTGCCATTGGAGGACACAGAATTCAGAGGAAATAGGAGTGAACCCAGTGTGTCTCTGAGGGATCGTGAAGGGTAGCCTGAGAGACAGAGGCAGGCATCTTTCCCAATTTTGGGTGGGAGGCAGGCAGGGTCCCCGAAGTGAAAGTCCTGACTTGA